TCCCACCAAACTTCAGAACTCTCTATCTCGGTCAAATCGAAGTCGATTCGGCTGACTTTTGGACGAATCGATTGCTCTCGTGAAGTTCTCGAAGCACGGCAGAAAGCCTCGCGTCAAAACCGTCGAATACGCTCACATTGAAGTCGGGTGGAAGGTTTGGAATCCACACAGGCTGGCACGTCCGGCGCGGACACGCGAGGCAGTCGGCGAGCGCGCTCATGCAGTAGTGGACGAAGAGGAGAAAGCAGACGGGTGCGAAGAGCAGCAGCTGGACGAGCGCCGGGGACCGCCGGAGGATGAAGAGGCTTTCGCCGATGGCCCGGTTCGCGTTGTAGCGCTTGCCGCGGCCCGCCCGCGCCGGCTCGACGGGTACGCCCGCCTCCGTGGACACCTTCAAGCGCCGCAGGGGTAGGAATTCGCCCATGGTCGCGCGGTGGAGGCTGTACGCGCCTAAACGGCCGGGCCGCGACGTCGTCGTCTTCATGATGGACCACGCGGTCTTGGTCATCCGGCCCATCTCCATGGCCACGCCGGCCGCGCGCGGGGGCCGCACGAGCACCGCGCGCCGCGCCAGGATCATCTTCTCGGCCTCGCGGACGCGGAGCACGAGATCGTGCACGGGCATGGCGTTGATCGCCGCGTCGACCTTGGGGTCCGTGATGAGCTTGCGCTGGACGAACTTGACGGTGGGGTCGTGCATGTGTCTCGTGCGATGCGTCGCGCGGTGCTGCGGCCGCTGCCTCGACGGGTGCCGGAAGGCGTGCTGCCCGGCCGAGGAGGAGGAGGAGGACGACGACGACGGCGAGGCGGAGGAGGAGGCCCAGAATTTGGTCGTGCGCCTCCGCTACGGCGGGCGAACGCTCGTCGTCGCGTTCCCCGAGGCGGAGGCGCCGAGCGCGCGGCGCGTCTTCGAGGCCGAGTGCGCCGATCCGGCCGTCGACAGTGATCCCTTCTGGAACGCGCTGCTCGCGCGCGGCGCCGAGGCGGACGCGGACGCGGACGCGGCCCTCGCGCGCCAGGAGGAGGGCCTCGCGAAAGACTGGGAGGCGGCCCGGGGCAAGTGGCTGACGACGCGGTCGGTGGCGCGGACCGCGGACGACGAGCTCCGCGTGCGCATGGAAGCCGCCGCCGCCGCCGCGCCGACCGCCGGCGACGTCGAGGCCGCGGTCGTCGAGCGCGCCCAG